TAGGTAGGAGCCAGCAAGAAGACATGCCACCAAAACAGAAGTCCAAGTCCTGGGCTGAGCTGAAACAAGCTGGCAATGAATGTTTCAAGACAGGCCAATATGGCGAGGCCACAAATCTCTACAGCCAGGCAATCAAAGCGTTGGAGAAGAACAGTAAGTATTATAACCTGAGCGTGCATACACTTCACTGAGAAATGAGTGTGAAGTATGTTTTATGTTCCTGTGACCTTATTTGATATAAATCTGCATTTTCCTAGGGATGGAAATTGATCGATTTAGTGGTTCCAATTCCATTAGAGGTTCATGTTGTCTTCTCATTCGGTTCTCACTGGCTCCTTTGAGACTCACCACCATCATTAAGCAGCATATCCAAAAACATTAAATTCATGCAGATTAATTGCATGTGGTGGTCAAATGTGTGTGCATGCTGGAGGTATTTCCCCTCTTTGTTGATCAGTATTGAGGTTGTTACTCAAAAGACATATTACACACAACACTTTTCTTAAAAGAAATGCAGTACTTTGTAATGTAGTACTTCACTACTCCCAAGAGGAAGTAATTTGTTATAAGATTCTTTGCTCATAACCTTCATTACTTTAACATTTCACTACTGTAAAATGACCTGATAGTTACCAGTTAACAGTATAAACCTACTGGCACATTCCTGTTCCTCAACAAAAATCCCAATCCTAATGCAGACACACATACAGTCTTTCTCTTAGTATTCAGTTATGAACACAAAGCAAAGATGAAAACTAGCACAAGGAGACTTCACAGTGATTATGATTCTACTGTAGAAACATTACATTACTTTTGTGTTTCTCCATAAAAATAGAAGTAGAAACGGAGGCTGCAGCCTGACTGCTCATCCGTTTTTTACCTGTTGAAGTTCAGGGTTTGAGTTCAGGGGTTGGTATTTACTCAGCTTTAACATCACTCTGGGTCCTTGGCTAGCTTAGTGTTAGTATGCTTGCAAAGGGCCAAAGTTGTATTAGCAACATAATGCAGTTGTTTCCGTGTTGGATGTAGTTTGCACTCTCATCCTTTTGTGCAATAAAAATAAGTACACGCTGTAGACTGAACCGCTATTTTCCTCCTCCAGCACACAGATAAGCAGGATCGATAGGCAAGCAGACCAACAATTCCAAGGAATTGAATTATTGGGAACCTATTACTGGTTCTTAATTCCCATCCCTACATTTTTCTTCTTCTTCTTTTTTAAACTGGCATACAAAAAATTGTCCTAGTGGCTCCATAGTGCAATACTGCAGAGTTTGCGCTATTGCGCTGGCAAGAGACAGTTTGCTTGTGGGTTTATATTAGGAAGGGCTTTTGGCATAAAACTCTGCCAAAACAAATATGCAAAGCTACCTGCTCTGGTGACCCCTTGTGAATAAGGGAGCAGCAGAAGATATTTAGTAAAAAAGGTCTTAAACAATAAAATGAAACCCATATGAATGTAAAACCAGTGCTCTTTTATTTTCTTCTTCCTTTCCATTGGCTCTGACTAAAACCTCTTTGGGGAAAATCAGTGTGTGTACACTGACATCCCAAGTGAATATACTCAGTCTAGGTAGTCTCTCTATCTGCTTCCTCCACTTATGTGTGCAGCTCTGCACACATAAGTGCAATTAGTACTGCAATTAGTATTTAGTATTACAGTACAGGCAAAATGCTATAAGAATTGAGTGCAACATTAAATTGTATCAAATCCCTCATCTTCTTCGCTAGTCGCAGTTTCTAACATGGCTATTGTAGCATCAGGGAACAGCGAAGCAGTTTTTGAGAATTGATGCCATGTTGCAATAAGTAGAGACTTAAGACTTAAAAATATTTTACAATGTGCTTGACAACACTACAATGCTGTGTTGTGTGATTTGTGTTTTCTGGTCATTTAATGAATGTTTTCTTTCTAACAGTTGCACATGTCTTCAGATTAATAGGGTTATTTGTTGTTTGACGATCTGCTCTTAAACACATCGTTTTCTTCCTGTTAAGGTAAAAGGAATCCAGAGGATTTGGCCATTTTGTATTCAAACCGTGCAGCCAGCTACCTGAAGGATGGCAACTGTGGGGAATGTGTGAAAGACTGCAATATGTGAGTGTGATGTTGCAATTTGGATTTCATGCATCTTTCTTTCCTCAAATCTTACACCCTGATTTTCTTATTTGGGGTGTTTGATTGTGTGAGAACATCCAACCTTTGGTAATGTAAGATGAGGGAGACGCTTAAGTACATGAAATAAAAGCAATGTTTTGTTCTGTTCTGTATATTGACTTCTGTAGTTTTGTCCATTAAACTTATTGTTACATTTTTAATGACGATACGTCCATTTTCAGCCTGTTCATTATCAAAATATTATCTAAATTATGATTTTAACATGTTTTCTTTCAGGTCTCTGGAGTTATCCCAGTTCAATGTGAAGTCTCTGCTTCGTCGTGCTGCTGCCTCCGAAGCTCTGGAGCGTTATAGGCAAGCTTACGTAGACTACAAAACTGCTCTACAGATTGACTGCAACATAGCAGCAGCTCACGATGGCACCAACAGGTATGTTGTCTGTTAGCTAGCTGAGTGATGGTTATATTTTAGCTTACAATATAATATTTACCATCTCTGAGTTTCTATAGCTGCAGTACCTTAATACGAGCCTTTCCAATCGCACTGTGAACAATATCAACATATTGTGTTTGTATGGCATGTTACTGCCAAGTAGACCAATCACAGTTGTTTCCGAGTTTGATTTTCCAGATCGAAATAAACAAATCTAACCAGTTTACACTTTACAATTTACAGTTTTGCAGAAATATCAGTACAGAAATATCTGTTTTAGGAGGTTTAAAAAAACAGATGGTTTATGCATCTTCTTGGTCTGTTGTAGGTTTTAAACACTGTTCTGTAATCCCCCGTCCCCAAGAAAGAGATTATGAAACCATAATGAAAATACACAGACCTGACATTAGACCTACACATGAGTATTTGTAAATACATTAACAGAAGTGTCTTCACAGTATCTCTAATTGGCCAGCTCCATTAATTGAAGTAAAAGTGTTGACTCCTTGGTTCCATAGTTCAAGAACAGAACCTGAACTTGTGGGCAGAAGCACAAAAAGTTTGTTTTTCAGCTTCTTCTCTGTTCACATTCTTGTCACTGTTGTACTGTTTCTCAGGATGACAAAGGCACTCACAGAGACAGACGGTCCGTCATGGAGAGAAAAGCTTCCTCCCATTCCCACAGTTCCTCTGTCTGTGAAGGAAAAACTTGCCCAAAAGTCTGCAGGCAATGTCACCCAACAAAGTCCAACACCTCAGCAGAATGGCACAACGCAAACAAAAAAACCTGGTACATAGATTTATGAAAAATTATGTTATTTAAAATTATGTTATTGATTTGAATTGACTGAGTTCCTTGTTAGTGTCAAAGAGTTGACCAGCTTCATGAAAACATAACCATTCATTGGATTTTTTTAAAAGTTACTTAGAGACGGAGCAGCATTATCATATTCAAACTCTCTTTTTTATGCCCCCCACCTTTTCCTTACCTTCTCCTCAGCTCCCAGTGATAAAGAGATAAAGAAAGCTCAGGCCTTAAAAGAAGAAGGCAATGCCCTGGTGAAGAAAGGAGAGCACAAGAAGGCCATAGAGAAGTACAGCCAGAGCCTCAAACACAACCCTACAGAAGTCACCACCTACACCAACCGGTGAGCCTTGATCATCAGCATCTGTGTCTCTGCAGTGTTGTATTTAATATTGCTCCAACGAATATATCAACCATCATATATTATTTGGTCCTGTTTTTGTTTGTTTATAAAATAAAGACTCCTACAGATTTAGCTAAATATAGCTTTGGCAGTTATAAAAAACCTGACTATATAAGAATAGTAATATGTTCACAAAGGTGGATGATTTCAATATCGTTGAAACTGTGTTAAAGGGATTTGCATACCTATGAAAACTTTAAAGATGACATGGTATTCATAATATACATTTTAAGATTTTTGTTTTGATAACTTTTCTCTGCTTTAATATTCAGTTGCTTTATTTAATCAGGAGGCATTTGTACTGTGTTGGGCAGTTTCTGTGTAATGCCCATTGCCTATTAAGCCTGTTTTTTAGTGGCTGATGGAAATTTGCAAGCTGTAGCTTATATGGACTAACTGCTGTTGCACAGTAGATGAGTCATGTTTTTCTGCGTGACTGGACAAAAATGCTAAAATCATTAGCTCAGTACACAGATATTACTTTACACTTAAGTCTTTCCTGACTTTTTGACATGAGTAAACATAACACAGTAGCACTAGAAAACAATAACAAACACAAAAAAAAATATTAAAGAAATGCCGGGACTCTATTTCTCTGCCGCACTGTGACATGAATTCGGCCCCTTAGCTTGTTATATTTTCTTTGGAGGATCCTTAATGTGGATTTCTGACAATGAATGGTAAAGAATCAGTCTGAATCACATGATGGCCCTGGACTAAGATAAATATAAATTAAAAAGTAAACAAAAAACACTTTAGCTGGATATTATTTAAAGGGTTCGTTGAAATGGAGTTCACATTTAAAAATATTTTAGTAACAAATGAACAAATGAAGAGGCTAGAAAGCATTTAAAGGTAAAGTTTTAGGTGTGTCAGTCAAATAAAAGCTTAGACAAAATAATGAATAATCTTGAAGAACCTGAAAATAAATACAAATTCAGATTCATCCATTTTTGAGTGCTCTGATCACAGAGTGTTATACATGTAGTGAAGCATTTTAGATTGATAATTAATACATCATGGCAACATTATTGTTTGACTGGACCTTCAAATAAATAAAGATGCGCCCAGATGTTTTAAATGGGGTTTACTGTGTGTTGTGTGATTAGGGCGCTGTGCTACCTGTCAGTGAAGCAGTACAGAGACGCCATCAGAGACTGTGACGAGGCGCTGGTGATTGACAGCAACAATGTCAAGGCTCTCTACAGGAGGGCTCAGGCTCACAAGGAACTCAAGGTAAGAGCACGAGTCTTCATCACCGCGCTCCAGCTTCTGATTCCCACACAGCGCAATCAGACGTTAGTTTCAAAAGTGTCTGCAGGTTTTCAAGCTAAGCGACAAAATAAAAAGCATTTCCTGCCTTGATAATTACCAGCGTTTCCCCTGACAGTCTCTCCTCATTAGTAGTCAAAACACACAGAGGAGACAGTAAGCTCGGCACTCACAGCTACATGCAGTGAAAAGCTCAAGTCAGTGTTTGGAGGTTTGAGTTGTCAAAAAGACACGAAGAGAGTCGATTCTTCATTTCTACCTCATATTGTTCAACGTGATTTTTATCTAGACATCCAATTATCAGTGTCTCCTCTTCCATTGCCTTGAGTAACAGATAACCTGCCAGCGCAAGAAAACAAAAAGAGGGGGCGAGCGTGCAAAATAAACAAAGATTTATCATGTATTTTCTTTATTCATGTTCTTCTTTTCCTGTGATTGTGAATCTCAATACTACATCATTGATCATAGCTAGCACTATCTCAGCTGGGTTCAAGATCAGGTCACCTAAAGACGTGAATAAAAATAGTAGTTATTTCAGATAGAGAAGAAACAAGAAGGCATTGTCTACCGGTTACCCAGACTAGGGCACTAGTCACTCGTTTTTTAAAGCTCAGTCAATGCTAACCACCTAGTACCAGCTGTTCCTGTCTTAGTTGTGGGCTTTAAATCATTCAGCTGGTTGTGCAGAGAGGAACTCGTTTTTTCATCGTTTTGGACGGCATTTTTTTTCATTGTCACAAAGTACTAAAGGAAATGACTAGTTTTTTTGCTGGGTGACGTTTTGTATCTTGATCTACTTTGAGATGGAATTTAGAAAAAAATCAGTTTGAACATTTATTTTGTCGTGTGGGATTACAGTCACACTTACAGTCATAAGTGTGACTGTAATCCCGTTTTAATATTAAATGGTAGCTAAACAGAGGTGTATTTAAACACAAGAGAACCTTCATTATGTGATTAGTGTCACTTGTTTACCCATGTTTAGTGTTTCCCATAGAAATAGATTGAATTTGTGAATATATAAATAAATAATAAAGCACATATGCTTTGTGACAAAAAGTAATGGGATAGTTATCAACTTCTTCCTCATCCTCTACTGTCTTTGACTGAACCCAAAGGCAGTCGTCCTTGTTCTGCTCTGAATCTGGTCTGTGAGCCTCAAGACTTCCAAATAGATGTCCAGAACAGAACAAGGACTACTGTTGCCTGATGCAGTCCAACATGGTGGAATCAGACCCTGACCCGTCACAGGATGACAGTCGAGACTGCCACAACAACAGCAATCTGATCAGACTGTTCACAGGGAAACATGAAACAGAAAGTTCAGTTGATGCTCAGGTCCTATCAAAATAATGGCAAGGGGATCTTCTCAAAGTAAACTGATTGAGTTGTTTTCTCAGATGAATGAAAATTTAAAACTAAATAGCAAAATATATGCAAACTATAAGACATTATTATTTACTTGTTAGTTCCAAGCTGGTTTGTTTTTAAAAATGTTCAAGTTTACCTTGTGAGAAAGCACATACGTCAACTGTGGATTAAATTGCATTGTTCTGAACTGTGTTGATTGTTTTTATGCAGATATTGGTCACTGACTCTGTTCTACTGAGGTGTTTTTACTTTCAGTTTCTCTGACCTTGTCAGCATTGTTTCATTTTTAATCTCTGAAACTTTTTGCCTTCTCCCCTGCAGGACGTCAGAGCCTGTGTGGACGATCTGAACACTCTGCTGAAAGTGGAACCAAAGAACTCGGCCGCCTTGAAGCTCCTGCAGGAAGTGCAGAAGAAGAAATGAGGACAGGTCAGGGACTAGAGGCAGCAGTAAGGATGTGTCACTGCTCTGAGTGCAAGAAGCCAAAGTCATCTTTTTTTTATAAGAATCAGTTGGTGGAGAATAGCAGAACAGTGACATGATTCTACTGTCTGTGAGTCCAAGACCAGGCCCGTGTTTCCCAAAACTCCTTCACTGAATTCCTGTTTGATGTGTTTACTCTCACTTGAACAGACATGAAGTTGGTCTCAAGGTGCTTGTAGAAAACCACATCAGCTCTGGATACTTAGAAATGATGTTGGAATAGGAATGAAGCAGCCTTGGAAATATTTCTTTTACCACTTTTAGCTTGTCAGTTTCCAATCATCCAGTATTTATGGTTATTTATTTTACTCACACACCTCAACCTGGTTCTGAGAATAAACGTTTACCATCGTCATTTGTAAAACTTGAGCAGGCAGTCAGCTATCGTGACGCTCCTGCTGGGTGCCAGAACTTAAATTTGATGTTAATGTATGTTTTGACAAATAAATTTACCTCAAGGGTATGCACCTAAGGACTTTTCCAAGACAAAAAACTATGATCATATTCAAACCCTGTGAAACAGGTCAGTCAACAAGTTTACTTTGCTGATGCAAAATCTGAGATGCAGCTGAATTCTCCAAAAAATAAGCCAAGTTGAATCAGACATGACATAGAAATCTGAGAGACTACAGGAATAGCAAAGAGGGTGGCTCTGTGGGTAGGGTTGGCGCTTACTATCGGAGCTTGAGTGTCATGGTACCACTACATGGCCATAAATGACATGAGGAAGGCAAAAAAATGCCTTCATATTAGCAGGCTGAGGTCTTTTAGGTAACCATGGATAAAATATTATCTTAAAGTTTGATGAATCCAAAAAGTTTTGACAGAAACTGAAAGAGTTTTTCCTTAGAAATCAGTTGCTGTTGAGAAGCCCACTTTAGAGTTAAATCACAAAGCTTCTGTAAACACTGGTGATCATAGACGTTAAGTTTCAAGGTAACAGCCAATTCAGATGTTTTCACTCTCAGGTAGTGTACTTATTTATCCCATGTTTGGAGTACATGTTTCTGTTTCTAGGTCCTTTGATATTTATAATGTCCATGCCATATAGGATAGCTTGCATAGATTTCCTCAGTAGAGTCTGATCTAGTTAACTTGTGAGGCAGTCATATGCCTGCAGAGCTGTTTGTGTGAGAGTTCAAGTAGCAAGCCTTTTGCAGCATATCACTACAGTATGTATGCTTTGGATTTAATTTCCTGGAATAAAGGAAAACGTTTCTTTGGCATTTCTTCTTAATTACTCCGATGTAGGAAGGTGTAGTGATGCTGCAGATTTTGATGTCAACAAAAGAATTGCCTTTTTGTTTTTGTAGGCCAGCCCAGAAGTTCGTACTGCCCCGGTTCCTTCAGCCAAAACGTGATTCGGACTTTCCCAGGAAGTAGGCTCAGTGGGGAGTAAAATTTTGTAATACCTGTACGTTTTGTACAGAATGATGATCTTTAAAAATTCATGATATGTTTGTGCTTTAAGAATAAGCAGTTGCGAGCTGTAAAATGTTAATGTTAGGACACAAACCAAGGGTGTTCAACTCATTGTAGTTAAAGGGCCACATATGGCGCAATTTGACCTGCAGTGGTCGAGAGCCACTGATAAATTACATTAGCTGACCTGCTAAAGATGTGAAGTCTGTAAATGTTCCAATGTTTTAATGAGCCATCAGTTTTAACGATAGTATTTTAGTTCACTGCTTTTGATCCATGCTGGTATCTCAGCAGTGCGTTTTATTGATAAAAATGTAGTTGTTATTGATCGAACTGTCACCTGACATGTAATGGGTGTGTTGGACCCATGTTTGACTCACTTGCTATAAACAAACCTCACCAAGGTTGCTTCTAACTTTAACGTCACACCACTAGGCTGTTATGGGGCATGTGAGAGCGTAGAAATTCTCAGGTGGCCGTCACCTCCTTGCACATTTTTTACAAGCCAATGAAAGACTTGTTGAACGGGCTGTTTGATGGACGAGTCTTACTGGATTTTTGAAACCATGAAGGCTTCGATGGTGACGACTCAAGAAAAGCTTAACTGAACAAAGTATGAAAATCTGTTAACCGCAGACCTTTTTTGAACATCTAAAAAAGAATAAATAAGATAATACATTTAAAAAAACAAACAAAAAATGCACTGACTTTAAGGCAAGTGAAGTGGAAATAAAACATACCAACTCATTTCCAGGTTGTAAGACTTGTGCAGTCTGTTTATGGTTCAAATTATAACTAAGAGCGGAGTCCTTCTCTGGTTATCTGCATATATTATCTCTGTCACCTATTGGACACCACATTCTTACTACTTTGCTTCATTTCATTTCTCTGTCCCAAGTGAGAGAGGTTGGCTTGGTACTTTAGCTTCGGAACGTCGACTTGTTCCCCTTCTCTTGACATATGCAGTATGTGAACCAAGTAGTAGTGTCCTCACACGGGTCCTTATGTACAAAGTATTGCCTCATTCTGTGAACTTTCTATTTCATTGTAGATAGAGTAAAATTTCTTATTAACTTGCTGTAGCTTAGCATCTCCATCCTGACTAAAGTGCCTGTGTCCATCTTTCATCTGCTGAAGCTAAAATCATGTTTTTTGTTTCAGTGACAGCACCTCCACATGTATATCAAGTTATTCATTCAGGGAAACTTTGAAGCACATCTATGCTTGATCCTTTGTTTTATCTCACTGTTGTTTTTGCAGTTTGTTATTTTAGTTTTGTCACTTGCTTCTGTTTTAACTGCAAATAAATTTGAGGGGAAAAAAAGATTGAGCATGCTCTACCTTCTTTTAGTCTTTAAAATAAAATATGACAGCACTTGATCACTTGGCAGAGCATCAGATGAAAGTAAGACAAACTAACTACACCCCTACTAGCTTGGTAGTTATTAGCTTACCCCTTTAAGTGCTAAGATACCTTATTTTGTATATGTGTTGGTGTTGCTGCTTCTAAAAAAGACAAATGACACAAGTGACACAGGTTTACAGTTTCCCCCAATTTGCTAAGCTGACCAGGTGCTGCATACAGCGTCATACTTACTGTAGGATTTGATCGTCTCATTGATTTATACAATCCTCATCCACAACTACACATGGATTTGCTTGTGTCTATGTAACATAAACAGCAAGAAGAAATAAGTTTTTTTTAATCTGGATGGCTTTGTGCAATCTTTTTTCAATATGACACGAATTATTAAACTTAAAATCTTTCTTGCCTACAAAATCTTGAATAATAAGGCCCCACCTCATAGTACCATATTATCCTGACCAAACACTTCGCTCTCAGACTGGTGGCTTACATGTGGTTCCTAGAGCTTTCAGACGCAAAATGGGAGACAGCGCATAAAGCTTTAAGGCATCTCTTTTTTTGGACCCGGTTCCCGTTTTGATTTCGGAGGCCGGCCCTTGGTTTTGTTTTTAGGTTTGTTTTTAAACTTTCCTTTTTTTTAAAAAACTGATTCCAATAGTTACAGGCTGGATCAGCTTATCCTGAACCATCCCTTAGTTATGCTATAATAGGCCTAGACTGCTGAGAGGCTTCCCATGATGCACTGGATACTTTCTCTTCTTTATGTGGGAAACTCTGGGAAGATCAGAACCTTCTGAAGTATTCACACCAGGCTGTCTGGCACCAACAACCATACCACTTTCAGAGTCATTAAATTCAGCGGTCCCCAACCCCCGGGCCGGTCCCTGAGTCGTTTGATACCGGGCCGCGAGAGTTGAGGCTCGAGTGTGAAATGTATGGTTTTCAGGGTGTTTACCAGTTTTTATCGTTATTTTTTTTAATCGTTTTTATCGTTAACGCTGTTTCCCTGGGTCTTTTCCCGTGTGTTATGCATAAATTATTTATCTGCAACAACTTAAAGGCCGGTCCGTGAAAATATTGTCAGAAATCATCAGCATAGCTTTTTTTATTTATTTATTTATTTTACATAAAGATTAGCATATTTTATAGTCAAATGAAAACATCGAATTCCATTTGTTATGTTTGGAGGTTTTCCTCCTCATCTGTACACACAAGTCAGCCTCAAATCGAAAGTGCAACCAAGAAATTGAGATAAGTGCTGTTTTTGTTGGCAGCACACTCAGACATGACTCCTTCCCCAGATCCGGTCCAGTTCAGTCAGGCAGGAGAGAAGCCAACAACTTCACTTAACTGTAAAGCACTTACAAAGAACTACAGCAGCTTGTCTTTCCTCTCAACTAGTTTTCTAAAAGAAAAAGAAAAGTATCTGTCAAATCTAATAGTGTTTCCTGTGAACTACAGATAAAAAAAACAAAACAAAAACAGGTTGGCATTTTGCAATGCAGTCAATAAAAAAAATAAGGTTCACAGACAAAACCATTCATCAGGCCTGACGTAACCTTTAACACCTCTTTACCTCCTAATGTGTCTCATTATGCTCAGCTTGACTAACTTCCTTCAGTAATTCAGTTTCAGTTTTACCAAATTACATAGTTCTGGGCACAAAACTAATGGTCTAATATCTCCTGTACACAAAGAAAGATCCAGAAATCCTGCATAGCCCTTAATTAATAGATGTACAATGCTCAAGTAGCAGTTAACTATCATCTACATTCACACCACTCAATCTCTCACCCCGCTGAGTGTGCGCACAATAAAATATTCAGAAAGACAGCACATCAAAGTGGATTCAACACTCGGAGAGCGAAAACGAGCTCAAACAGATAAAAATACGAAAGACTCGAGCAGCCAGAGCCCGATATATTCAGGGGGTGTTTAGAGGTAGTGCAGACTCTGAGCTGCACACCCGATGATCCATCCTCTACTTAATATTGACATTTTTAGCTAAATCTGCATTTCAAAAGATCACTGCTGCCATAGTCAGTCCTGAAAAACCATATATAAAAACATGTTAAAATTAAATACAAGTGTATCTGAACCTGCGTCATGTTCATATAGTCAGATATTTCAGAGTCACAAGTTCACATATCACTTTATCTTCTTCACATCTGTGATGAATCCGTTTAGGATCATTAGTGAACCTAGCCTAGCATAGATGTCCTTGGGCTGCAGGATGAAATCTGAGTACCTGGAGGAAAACCACACATGCAACTCCACAGAGAAAGGCCCCAGCAGGGGTTCAAACCAGTTCTAACCACTCCATCGCCATCCTGTCCGTCTTTCACAGGATATTTTAGGTAACTCTCATATTTGGTGCATTGTTTTGTACTTTGATGCTGTGTGAGCACTGGAGGAGTAGATTATTTCCCCTCAGACGGCTTGGAAACGGTTGCAGATTGCATCAGCTCTTAGAGCAGTGGCTCTGGGCGTTACTGGGGCTGAAGCAAATGCCTCAAACTGACGTGACTTGGGACCAGCGTGGTCCTCCATCACAGTAATATTCACTTCAGGGGATACTGGAGGGTAAAATTCCTCCGGCTTTAAATAGTTGTTTGTAGCAGAGGTGCCTTTAGATTCTGTTGGCTCTCCATTTTTCTTGGAAACCAGCTGCCTGAAGCAAACCCTCTCCCCCCTTCCCATTGGTTCAAACATTTAAACTTTTTCCACTGATGTAATTTCACACTCAAGTCAAACCTTTTTAAAAGTGATGGTTGTTTATTCCTTTACTATAACTGCAAACCCACTTATATGGCAACTATAACAATAGTAAAGTTTTCCAGATAGATGGCTGTTTCAGTGTATAAAGTGGAGGTGCTACGTTTGCAGTCTTTTCCAATTCAAAAAGTTTTAGAATACATTTCAAACAGTGAGACCGATGTGAAATTTATAAACATTTCAAAGTGATGTCATGTGCTTTATGTAGTCTATACTGGTCTATTTGATATCCCCGTGTTGGTGTTGAGGCTCCATCATCCTCATAATGTTGGTCCAGGATCAACAGTCATATCTTGGAATGTGGAGGGTAAACCCCTTTTATATAAAACTCTTCTGGTAAGCATTTCAGATGTTTTCTTTATTAATTTATACAAAAAAAAAAAAAAAAAAAAAAAAAATTGTATCATCGTTTTCTTGTTAGCCAAATTTAGGCTAGTCATGTTAGTTTCCTAGTGAAAGTTCTTAATAGCTTCTTGGGTAATGCTACCTGAACGCTTAGACGTGACTGGCCAGGTGAAATGTTGATCCTGTACCAACATTGTACATCTATTCAATTCAGTAGTTTTATTTACATAGCGCCAAATCATGACAGCAGCTCCTTCAAGGCACCTTCAATCAACCACTGTTGAGCAAGCACTTGGCAACAGTGGGAAGGAAAAACTCAATTTTAACCAGAAGAAACCTGCAGATCCAGGTTCAGGGAGAGGCAGGTTTGTTTGATCAAGGTCTTTTAACACCCATTGCTCATTCGATCTGAATCAGCTGATAGATCTGTAAACTTGTAGCTTTTTTTTTTTTCTTAAACGAAACTCCAAGGGTGGCCTCATCCAAACCACGTGAGAACATTCATCTTATATAACAATGTAAACACATGACAAAGGGTGGTAACAAGAACATTTTCCTTTAAGATTTATATTTATTTGGAGACCATTTCCAGCAAACTAAATGCACCAGGATAGTTGCTATAGTTTGTTTACTCTGCTGCAGAATGCAAAGCATACCAGCCTACAGGAAGATTGCAGTGTACACCTGGTAGTCAGGTCAGATTGAGCTTGAATCATGTTCTCACCATAGAATAAATTCTCTGGAGATGTAGCTCTGTAGTCCGAGCGGTTGACCCAGATATTGTGATGGCATTTGCACAAATTAACTAATCCCACAGCAAAAACCAAGCAGAGATCAATTATAAGCACCTAAATAGTACATATGTGAAAACATCCTTAGATTACTCCCTGGAAGTCTTTTCTGGACAGACATCTTCACTTCTCTCCTGCCCCACCCAGCTCCCTCCGAGCTCCTCCACTTCACAAAGTGAAAGTTAAGTTGAAGGATCATGGTTCTGATGTAAAAGAGGCTATACAGTGTGTCGTGCAGACATGCAAGATGTCATAATAGGCCTGAGTGAATGATACATAGAAGAACAACATCTTAATCACGAGATTTGGCAATTTAATCTGGTAAGGTTTTTCCCCCCCATTCTCATAGACCGATTGATTAAATCCCTACAACTCAGTGTTCAGAGGTTACCATAAATATTCAGTGAAGAGCAGATTTAAAAAAAACAAAACAACAACATCCATCCGCTTATCTCAAACACACACACGTCACACACATGGGGGGGAAAAAAAAAGAAAAGATGTTTGCCAGCTGGTACAAAGTGATTCTGGTTTCCATGGAAAGTACAGCCCCAGTCATCAATGTTTTCAATAACTCATGCACCTGGATATTGGGGTTAGGGGTGGGGCTACTTTTCCTTACAAGTGTCCTGACACAGACAGCTGTAAGTCATCAGTATCTGAGAGGCCTCCCCTTCATCATTTTCATAGAACCAAATGTAACCTATTCGTGTGAGCTGTCGGTGACCTCTGGAGCATTTTTAATTGGTTATCTGACTAAAATTATGACTCACCTTGTGCTTCAGTCTCCGAGTGAAATTCTAGTGTTTTACGAGTCTGTTTTTTTAGCCAAAAAAGCCGACTTGTGTCTTCACATTCTACCTTCACAGGGTAACGATGCAGCTTGCTAAATAGCCTTGAAATAAACTAAACATGGTGACTTCTGGTTCCAAAATCCCAACACTGAGGCTTCAAAATGCCCAGTTCAACACAGTGGCTACATCAGGCTGTGGTAATCATTCA